TGGGGAGAGAGGAGACTGGTGGCCTGGAGAGGTGGCGGCGGTGGGGAGGAGCTGAATAAGGCCCCTATTCTGCTGGGCGCAGGTGCTGGTAACAAGACACCCCGCTCTCCAGTGAGAGGCAGGCAGGGTGGAGAATTCAAGGTGCGGCCTGGTGTTTTTTCATCCGGTCACATTATATAACCTGTCACACTCTCTCTGTACCTGGTGCAAAGGTCCCCCTGCATCAGGCCCCAGTCAGCTCCTGTCATGCTGATTCTTGAGCAACACTGGTAAGGGCAATATTTGATTTTAGCATCGAGCTCCAAACTCCCCACCACCACCACCTTTCTTTTAAGCCAAGTTAACGATTTGAGGGAGAAATACACGTACAGGGTGAACCGCCCCCAAGTTGGGCAGCGGAGAACCCCACAGGTCTTAAAAGTTCGTCAACCACACCTGCCGAATACTGTACGCCAATCCTGTGACGTAAAAGCATTGGTGCACTGGAGCACCATGCTCTTCCGAGACCAATCTGTGAGGGACCAACTCAACAACAGCAACTCGGAAGTTTCGATACGCTAAGCCAGCAAGTCTGTGTTCATGGGGGAGCGAGTCAGAAAAGGGGGGCGAGACCGACGGCCCAGGCCAAAGAACGTGATCCACCTCCCCCAACTGCACACGTAGGACTGCTGACCTGGGATAGATTTTCTTATGCATATTTTCTTTGTGTGTGTGTGTGTGTGTGTGTGTTAAACAGCTTTAATCTCTGTCATTGCTGTTTCGGCACAGTAAGAAATATTGCACATGATCAACATGTTTTGTTCTGGGGTGGGGAGGGGGAGGGAATCACCTTCTTAGAAAGTACAACCCAAGTTGGGAAGGCAGTCTTATGCATATTTTCAACACCAACAAGAAATTACTTCCTAAAATAAAACCAAAGCCAGGGCACAATGCGCTGTTTGCGGCATCTACGGCCATCTCTAGGGAGAAAGATAAGGCTTTCCACTCCCATCAAGAGTTACAATCTCGGAAGCTCACAGGGAAAGGTCTACCCTGTTCTACATGGTCACTAGGAGTCGGAATCGACTCGAGAGTAGTGAGTTGAGTTTGAAGAAGCCCATCTTCGAAGGTTCCAGAACCTCCTTAAGTGCAGTCAGCTTTGTCCAGACATCAGAAGTCAGTCCGTTGGCTTTCAAAGCAGTCATTTCTGGGTGAAAGCTCCCTGGGTGAAAGAGCCCTGGTACCGTGGTGGGTTACACTTAGGGCTGTTAATCTCAAGACTAGCGGTTCGAAACCACCAAACGAGCTCCCTGGGAGAAAGATGAAGCTTTCTACTCCTGTCAAGAGTTGCAGTCTCAGAAACCCAGAGGGGCAATTCTACTCTGGCCTACAGGGTCACTGTGAGTCGGCATTGCCTCCGGCAGTGAGATTTCTGGTTTTGTTTTTTCGGTGTTGGGTGGCCCACAGGAGCCCTGGTGGCAGAGCG